AAAAAGGCCTGGTTATAAGAGCAGGTAATAAGGATCTGTTACTGGGAGCTTCCTTGGTTGTTTGTAGTCTGCTTTGGCTACCTGTACTTCAGCCTGAGGGAAGCTAATGGCACTAAATGAAAGCAGTTAATTAAATCAGAAAATAAATCAGTGCCAATTATAACCCATGGACCTTTGATCTCCTTCATCAAGCACCATCGTTGTTGTCTGATATAAAAATGTCTCATTAAAAGATACGGAGTTTGGGAGCAGTAGAATGCCAGTTCCTAAGGGATTGCCTAATGAAATATTCATTAATGAAGCCATGACATGCAGTATCAATGCTGGGATGATTCCTGGCTGTCCTGACTGGGGGAAGGGGTTTCATTTACTCTCAGAAATTTTCAGAATGTGTCTTAAATTATCAGACAGTTAAACATGAATTATTTAAAATTTAAGCATTTCCTAATTTTCCCATGACAATTTTTCACCAATGTGTGCATTTGATATTTTACTGAGCCAGATATCATAGATGAAGTATTTTGAATTACACACCCCATACAAATACAACAAAAAAACCAAAATCAGAATGGTTTAAAAAACCAACAAACCAGTATTATAAGAGGCTTACAGCTTTAAAATTCTGTTATTGGGCAGCTGAAAATCCAGTCAGAAAACCTGGACTTTTCTAGAGGGTTTGRGGTTTTAATTGAAAAAGCAGTGCCAAGTACACTTTGATCTGGGATTTCCTTYTTCCTTTAAGAATAACAAGAAATAATTAAACCTCGGAAGGATTTAAGCATTTYATTACCAAAACCTTCAGCCCACTCCTCCCACCTCCACCCAAACCTGACACAATGTTCTGGGACTGCGTGACCCTCTGGGAAGGTTAGCAAGAAGATAAAGGAGATTGTTTTTGGTCAGTAGACTTTTCAGTGAGGCAGATATGCCATTGCACAGCCTACATTTTTCCTCTTGGGAACTGGCCCAAGCATCAAGATGCCCAGGTCTGACACGCTTTTGGCCCTTCCTTTTGAGGGAAATGTAGGARTTAAGTGGAAGAATAGAAATACTGTACCTGGGAAGGGTTTTGTTCCCTGTACAAATGCAGTAATTTATCCTCATAATCATGCAGAGACAGTTATATATGGTAGCTCCTGATACACAAAAATCTGTTTTCAGATGAAAATAAATAGACACTTATTCAGTATTTCTATTTCGGCCTGGTTGTGTCTTTTCTACTTGGGAAAAAACTTTTGAGAATATGGGATAGTTGACCAGAAATTTGTTACTAAATTTTGCAATCTAAATCTATACAGGTTCCTGGAAGAAGGAACCAAAGCCTCAATYTGAGTGATAGAAAACCAAATTCAGATAGAATTTTACAGAAATAGTGAGAGTTTTGATGCCATGTTTAGAAAAACTCAAATGTAGAAAATGAGAACCCAGGGACAAACATGGAATTAATCCATTGGTAACTGAGGTTGTGGGTAATCAGCAAGTTCCTTTATGAAGAGTAACTACTGTGCCAATGTACTTCTAAGGAAAACAATGTGCTAGAAATTTAAGCTTTCCCATGTCATTTCAAAACTATAACTCTATTTTGTAACTTTTTATTCCACTGAACTCATAGAAGTCAGGCAGTCTGAAAGTTATTACTATATATCTTAGTATCAAATCTGTATATTTGRTGATATTTCTGCTTTAGGTGAGCCTAGATGATGTCAAACTCTCACCAGATCTGTATGTATTGTAATGATAAATATCTGTGTAATTATTTGAATTGTTTTAGTTAATTTTGCTTCCCATAATATTTTCCTTAGTTTGGGATTTATTTTAATTTTAGTTAATGTCAAACTGACATAATGAATCAGAAGTCTCTCAAATCACAAAGACAGTCTTAGGCAATTTCGGGTTACCTTGTAACAGAGTTACTTTCTATTTTAAAGCCTGACTGGACTTTTTATCAGGGAGGAATAAAAAGATTTGCTGTAACTCTTTCTTTAACCTTTGGATGAAAATGGGTAATTCTTCCAAGGTCAGGTGCTACAAAACTTTGTGTAGAAAGGGAATGTAAAACTAATTCTAGTTAGAATTGTGAATAAAGATGCTACTTCTTAAAAAAAAATACCTGAAAATGAGCAACTGTAGCTCTTGCCCATTTTCTCCATTTGCTCAATATTTCAGAACCTGTGAATTTGTTTCTAATGCAAGAGGGGCTGTGCACTGCCCTGCTAATGACTTCTGCAGAGCACTCAAGGATCTTGACTGAAGTGCACATTGTCATTTTTATGTTATAGAGGGAAGATGAAAGGAAGAAAGAAGGGATGTTCCCTACCTTCAGCCTTTGTCTTGCTGTTCTTCTGTACCGCCGGGCACACAACTGCTGAGCCGGATGGCAGCAAAGGAGAGCATGTTGTGGGTAAGAGGTCACTGGAAAACACCTGAAAGTCAAACAACAAAACACAAACACTCAATCAACTAAGCCCACTATGATAAAATGCACTGCAGATGTAATTCTGTACTAGAGAACTTTTGTGGGAAATTAATGAAATTGAGGCTAAGCTAAAAATGTGCTGCTTTCCAACTAGGAGAGGGATGCTTAGAATTATGTACTAAGCTTTAGCAAAATTTCCATCTACTGAGGCTTCTGTTTCCCAAGCTTTTTAGAACATCTAATCCTAATCAAACACTGGGTTRGATATCAAGATGATTCCCTTAAAGCTCTGCTTTAAGAGCATGGAAAAGATCCATGTTCAGGGAAAGAAAACATAGAGTTGGTTAACTCAGGTTTTATTTCYTCATGCAAAAGGAACAGAAATATGATGAATAACATTGTAAATTGATGTTGCTCTGTCCCATGCACAGATCTCTTAAGGCACAGTTAACTTGCAAAGTTTGATTTAGAGATGATACAATTACTGGTTGTTTTACTGGACCTTGATGAAGGTCTTTGCATAGCCCCAAGTGATTTGATATCACTGGAGAAATAATGGAGTTGGACTTGATCCTTGTTAATCCCTTCCAACTCAGGATATTCTATAATTCTATGACTRAAAATTYACCAGCTGAAAAATTTTGTTAGAAAAACAGTGTGACTGTTAGAACTGGGGATTTTCACCATGGTAAGATCATTGTTTACTTCACTGAAATTAAGATGGAGCCGAATTCTATGCTGGATACCATTGTGAAAGGTATTTTAAGTTCCTCCCAAACAATTCTGAGAAAGCTGAGGGGAAAATACACTTTTGGGGCCACACTAAAATGTTTTGTTTTCCTTTGAAAAAATAACTTGAAACTATTACCACCTCYTTAAGCTGCAGAGGATTGTGAAGTGGGTGCTTTTGTTTGACATGTCTGATTTTGAAGTGCACCTGAGAGTGCAGCTAAGAGGAAACGTTTTGTTACGTTTTGTCCTATTTCCAGACAGATAATTTCTCTCTGTCAGACTTTTGCAGCAGTGCTTCTTGAGACAGAAATAATAAAGGTGCACAGTCATGGCTGTACTGGGTTAGTGCTTTGGGACCATGTCACATTTAGTCACTGCTATTTAAGATATGTGCTGTCCCAAGTTAAGTGTATGTTTAGCATGGCTGTGTAGTAAAGATGGTTCATTCAGAGTAAATTTGTTTATTTTTAATCTGAAGTACAAAAATGCCCTTCTYGTTTGAGGGCAGAGTCACATTTATTTTTGCCACACAACCCTTACTGCTCTATAAATTCTCAGCCAAACTTGCAGGACATGAAGGCCAAATCATCTTGCATACTTTGTCACCACAAGAAATCTGATGGCTTAATTTTTTCCTCTATGTCCTTTGTTTATGAAAGAAAATAAGTAAATAATCTCAAGGATATTAAGTAGTCATTTTACTGGGGTTTATTTTTTCCACTGATTATTTTGCAATCAGTTACGTAGGATTATGTGACCACTAACTGATGTAGTATGAGTAACAGTTCTGAGCTTTTGGGCTTTAATTCTGAGGTAAAGACCAATCAAATGTGAGGCTTAGAAATTAAAATAGCATCCTGCTTTTGTGACTCAGTTGCAGTGTTTACAAAAAAAAATACTTTTGCCGTACTTTGTTTTCACAAAATATTTAGATTGTTGCTAATTAAAATTGTATTAGTGATTTCTCAAGATTTATCTTCTGGACTCAGTCACTTTAAATGTAGGAATTTTGTGATCTGCAGTTTCCTTGATAACATTTACTTTCAAAGGTAGACAGTTATAAAGAAATGGCGTATTTTTCCCCAGTGTTCCATAAATTTCAGGTATTAAAGCATAATGTGTTCATCCATTATTTTTAATATCGTGCTTTTGGATCACAYTGAGTACAAGTACATTGTGAATTTAAGAGGTGGTTTTCTGTCTATTTTAATTACAGTAATAATCAAGATTGCAGGTCAAGTCCAATGGAATAAAAAGATTTTTAATTTGCTCTCTTCCAGCAAAACCTGTCATTTTCCACCAATAAATAAGTGTAACAAAAATGAAAGGTATAAAAATAACCAGGTTATGTATCTCGTTCATTAATACCTCATGTGGTAGGCAGCACTTTAGTTGATGTTCCAAAGCCTGAAGAAAATGACTCACAAATTGAATGTGCTTTTTATTCATATGTGAAAGCTTGCCAGAAATAAATGTGCCTGCCTAAAGAAAGTGTAGGAGACACATGGGAAGGAAGAACACTGAGCAGTGTGTGGGTGGGAAGCTGTCACATTGACAAAGCTGGAGAGAAAAGAAACAGCTATTCATTAGTGACAAGGTGCTTAGTATTGATACTGCTTATCAAAGGGAGACATTGCCAGGGAAGGCTGGGAAGATGACAGAATATCTTTATAATTAAGGATAACCATGGAAATTCATAAGAACACATAACCTAAGCAAATGAAAACAAAGTATTTTTACATAAAAAGTCAAAATATTCCTGATCTTTATTATCCCAATTTTTATAGTTCTGTTCTGAAAAGCAACTCCTCCATAMCACTTTCCATTTTTATTGTGCTGCAGGTGTAGCAGAGAAATCAGYTCATTTTCTAATTAAAAGGAAGTCTTTTTATCGAGCAGCCCTGCCGATTATCCCTAGGAGTCTGAAAGCCAAATTAGAGTCTTTTGTTATGCCTACATCCAGGGGAAAGATATTGTTTTCACTTGTATTAATGTAAGAGGATTAGGAGACATTATTCTCCATTTCTGGTTTTGTGATATTACACTGCCTCCGCATGAAGTGATAGCAGTGCCTCGATCGCCCACAGTGCCTGTGCTCAGGGCTGACTGCAGGTTATAGGAGCTCTCACAGTGAAGTGACTGCACTGAAATTAATTGTGGCTGTTTGTGTGTTAAACAGTCATTTCTTGATTGCAAAAGTTGCCATGGGAATGACAACAAACGTGAGAATGTCTGCGTTGCATAGGAACAGTCTTGGCCCATATCTTGTCTGAAAGTTGCAAAAAGTAGGAAGGTTGAAGGCATGGAGGGAGAAAATRGTGACATAAAATATCTGCAATGAGCTTGTGCTCATTGTGAGCCGTGTCCTGGGCATTGCTTTGCACTTGACACAGACTGTGGAGTGCACTGACTGTCAGAACAGAGCAGAGGCTGTTTAATGCTTATGGAGCTGATGTAAGGAAACCATTCAATTAAAAAGTTGAGGCAGGGGAAAGAAAAAGGGGAGAGGTGGCCTTGTTGTGCCTTGTTTTAGTAGAAGTAATAACTTCTGTGTGACAGTGAACATCAGCTATAACCATTATTTAATGTCTTGGTCTAGGCTAGTACAGTCCTACAATTATATAGGATTTCTAAGTGTATTTGGACCAGACACCTAAATTGGCTGAGTAATGAATATCTAACTGGGCCAGATCCAAAGTGGAGGGTTAAACTTTTTTTTTTTTTTTTTTAGTTAAATAACAAATGCAATGAGCTATTCTTAAGGCAATCATAAATATAAGATGGAAAATAAATGTTGAAGCACCTGTATAACAAGGTTCTATTTGCTGGAAAGTAAATGGAAGTTACAGAGCATTGCAAAAGTAATTCCATGTTGTTTTAAAAACAAAGGCAAGTGATTTTGTGTTGTAATAAGGAAAAACCCAAAGGATCATTACTCCACTCTATTTGTCACTAATAATGCCTCAGCTAGCGGATTATATTCAGCTCTTGGCAGCACATTTTACCAGGAATTCAGACCAATAGGAAAGATCCAGATAAGAGTTGTGAGAGGATTAGAAAGCAAGGCCACTAAAAAGATGGGAAGAAAGGTGTTTATTTAGTAAGGAGCTAATTAAGAGGGAAAAAAAGTCTTTCAAAAGAAAGAGACAGAGGTGGGCTGCTGACGTGGTGTGGTGAATGCAAGGTATCTGCACCACGAGGGCTTCAAACAGCAGAGATGGAGCTGGATTTGGAGAGCCCAAAATAAAGGTTGAGAGTGCAGGAGGCAACTTTCTCTCCTCCAGCAGCCTTGGAGTGTGAGAAGTGAATGGTGGATTAGATAATTAAAACTGATCAGTTGTGTGTATATGTTTATGGTTTTAAATTTTTCTATGTGTGAAGGAAGCAAAAATAATTGAGTATATATAGGAAAAACATTTAAGTGGTATATGATAAAAAAAGGCCTGTCCTATAAGAAGAATAGTGAAATCCTGGAACTGACTGCTTCAGGTTGCTGGGAGTTTTCTTCACTTGGATGAGAAACTCTTAACATCCCTTCAGCTTTTAACTTCCTGTGTTTCTGCTGAAGAATTTTCGCTGACCATCCTGACAGATATCTTCCCTGAATGTCATATCCTGTGCTTTTCATGCAGCACCAAAAACGTAGTAACAATTTGTCCCAGTGTTCAAGAGCAGAGGGTGAGGCCTTACTCAAAGAATGAGTTTTCTCAAGGTATATTCCACACATGAAATAAGTACAGGCAAATGTGTGTCTGTGCAGATCTACTGGCCAAACACTCCTGCTTGCCTTCTCATCTGCTGCTCTAATCTGAGAAGGAAAGCTAATTTTGTATCATCTGTGTGAGTTAAGYGTTCCCAGGTGTAAAATAATGGGGAAGAATTCTTTCYCTGTTCCCAGACAGAAGAATGATTCAGTTCCTATAAATCCCTTTGAGACTTCTTTCTTCAGAGTCGCTTGGTTACTGTTTAGAGTTGAAGGGTTTGGCCCCTGGGGGGGTTTCATAGGGTACAGATTTTAGTCAAACTATGGCAACTTTCTAGCATTCCTAAGGAACTGAACGGGTGATTGCCAAAAAGTGTGACCCAGTTAGTCATTATGTTTGCAGCAGATGTCAGGACATGTGACAGTGGTTAACAGCATCCCTGTGACTGCAGGGGAAAGGCCTTAGGAGGTAACCAAAACAATGATTTGCTTCCCTGGGTCTGATGGGAAGTAGGCTGGGAGCTGAGAGCAGAAAGTTCCCAAGACARACTCTGCTAAGCCATTTGTTCATCMTCTTTGTGTAGTTTTGCAACTCTGCTTGCATACTGTTGCTGTTTGGATAGCCCACAGCACTGGTGTGGTGTAATGCAGTGAGAAAATGAGCTGACATTACTCCCCGTCTGAAATTGCAGTAATTAAGAAACCTGGTAAGTTTTCACAACCTCTKGTAGACTGAACTGGGTCACTGACAGAGGTCACGAAGGAGATCTCATTTCTGGTGTGCCAAGAAAATGACGTGTTTATGAACCAGCTGCCAGCTCTCACCACAACCACATTTGAGTTGGATCAGTTCCTGTGAAGCTCCGAGCGTTTGATTTTAGCATTTCAGGAGTGAGTTCATAACTTACTGAAAACTTTGATCTTTTGAAGGCATTTTTCCCTGGTACTGAGAGGGGGAAATCCAAAGTTTCATTTTACAATGCAGTATCGTCTCAACTTTTTAAGATGAGCCTTTTTAAATCACTTCTAAAGGATTCCCAAGCCTCTTGGAGAACTTTAGAACCTTAGAAGTCCAACTTGGCATTTGCTGTAACTTCAAAACACTAATTCTTTGTGGACTCAGGAAGACCCAGCTAATGAAACTGGAAAGAAACAAATTTCTGAGACCTTGTTTGGCAAGCTGAGTTTCATAGCAGCTTTACCAAATCTAGCATCTCTTTTAATTATTATTTCATCAGCATTTCCTATTGTACATTCTTCAGTAATATTTTCAAATTTATATACCTAACTCGAAAATCTGAAAATGTATTTTCACCAATATGGGACGAGTCACAAACTGTTTTAGGGACTGAATATTTAAATATGATTTTGAAATTAGTCCTTTTTATATGTACTTTAACACCAAATGGTCTAATGTACTACAATTATTCTGTTGGTGGTCAATTTGTAATTAAGTTGGTTAAGTTTTCAAGGATTTAAATGCTATTCTTTAAAAGATTTTAGTGTTGAAATTTGTTTGTTTTCCATGGGTTTAATAGTTAGAAGTAGCTAAAATGGAATTTAACTGGTAAACTTCCGTGGATCCCAGTACGTATGAGGATTTATCTCTGCTGTGAGTTTAATTTAAAGGTTGTATAATAAAGTCAATTTTAGATGCTAAAATTAGATATCCACAGAGCAAGTAGGTAGTATGCATACAAGTTTCCTTTTAACCATGACATAAAGCCTGATTTTTATGGATTCTTTTAATTAAAACTGGAAGCTTAATCTAGTAATAGTAGGAATCTGTTCAACRATCATGTAAACTCTTCTCCTTTGTCTCCTGTTTCCTGGGCCACTGCAGAGAGCATGGATAGATATGTTTGCACATATGTTCTCAAATATCAGTGTTCTAATTAGCTGTAGAAGAATGAGTGAAAAACTTTGGGTCTGTTTTTCTGGCTCCTAAGGCAAGCACACAAGCTCTGTAGAGCTTTCAAAATCTTATAGGGTAAAATACTTCCTTGAAAAGTGAAGAGAAAAAGATAGTAAACCAAACATTTATAAGGGAACGGTGTCAGGAACTGGATTGCTAGTGAGAATTTCCCTATAGACATTGACAGGGTAAAACTTTGCAAGTGTTCTTCACAATATATCTGACAATCTGTACAAAACATTCCCATACCTATTAATATATATTCAGACATAGAAATTGCACAATTTAAGAACATACAGCTTTGTTTTGCCTTCACTTTCCAGTTGTAAGCTCTTGAAAGCTGTAATGCAGCAGTGAGACAGAAGGAAAAGGACAGTGTGGTGTCTGTCAGTGGTCCCAGCTGGGTTTGTGTCTCAGTCGAGTGCAATCTGACAGGAGAGCAATGCCCTCTGCAGGGCTCTGGCCATCCCACGCTGTTCCCTGGCACATCCTTGACAAGCCACGAGCACTGGGAGAAGTGCATGACAGAGAKCCCAAGGCAACCTTTCTGCCCTGGTAGTCATGGTGTGTTTTGGAGCTACCAGGACTGGTGCTTTTGTTATCAGAATTGCACCCCAGCTCACGTGACTCAGCCACTCCCCATAACTGTTTTGAGGTTTGTGATGAGGAGCTAAAGTTTATGCTGTGAGCTGTGTCGGTGGAAAATTGAAACCACACATTTGGTTTGACTGAATGGAATTTGTGTTCCAGTGCAGATGATGTTTTTCTTTTTACATCTGTTTAGTGTGTTCAGAGCTTTGCAGACAGATGTTGTGCGGTGCCTCTCTGGCAGAACACACAATCTCATTTTGGAGTTACACTCTGTCGTATGCAGCAAACTGAGTTATTCTGTGTCTCCTCCGTATTACAGGAGCTGCTTTGCCACCACTGAGGCTTGGGCACTCCTTCTGTGCCATGAAGGCAGATGATGGTCCGTGCAAAGCCATCCACATCCGCTATTTCTTCAACATTAAAAGCCGCAAGTGTGAAGAATTTGAATATGGTGGATGCCATGGCAACAAAAACAACTTCCTAACKCGTGAGGAATGTCAGAAGAYGTGTGTGGTAACAGGCCAGTGTCCRTTTTTTTATCCTCSTACCAGTTCTTCATTTGCATCTCTTATTTCTCATTCACAAACTACTTGAATCTGGGAAGTAAAAGCCATTTCAGTTCCTCTTGACACAGAAGTGTGATTCCTCTAATTATGTTCCCTAGCAGTTAAGGTCATCTGAATTATTTTACATGGTGCAAGCAAACATTCAGGATTTGGAAAGATAGGTTGCTTTTAATGTACCTGTGGACTAGAAATACCAATGCCAGAAATCTTATCTCCTAGTTAGGGCCCTGTTTTGGATGAGATCCTAAGTGAAATTGATTTTGAGGCTGCATTGAGCTGGTGGGTAGCATAGATGTTCTGGATTGCTTTCAGAGTGTCTAACCCAGTTTTTAATCCCATATTTGTCCTTCACTTCAGAAGTTTATAAAAACTGTCCAAAATTTGGGACATCTTCTATGTTTCAACATGGTTAGAAGTACAGTAGTAGATAATTGTTGTTAAAAATGTCAGTTATAGCCATTTGTTAGCTTTGTTTTATTGCAACCTCATCAGTTAATCATTAGAAAGAGRAAAATGAGATCTAACATATGATGCACAGCACAATATACACCTTGAGCTTTCTGAATGCTAGTTTTGCTCTTGAAAATCGTCCTTGTAATTAAGGTATTCAGCATTGTGGAAATCCCTCACATGACTGAATGAAAATGAGAAGATTCTTAAATCTGCCAGTGGAGGTAGAAATTTGACCAGCTTATGTTTTTACAGACTGGAGGAAATCAAGTCTTTTAAAGGGTTTCCTCAGGATGTCTAATATATTACCTAATATATACCTATTGATTTAATGGGAATTTACTGGAGTGTGTCTGSCTGTGTAAATGCAAAGTGATAGGGATATCTTGAAGGGGGAGAAGGCAATGGAAATTGTAAGAATTTTAGTACAAAGGGTCCTCAAAAGTGTGTAATAACCTTCAGGCAGTATATCAACTATGCGAGGCTTTTTTCCCAAATCTCTTCGYATATTGGGTTTTCATTTCTTAATCTTCAAGGTAAGACAGAAGGATTCATTCCCAACAGAARGGACTTTTCAGTCACATGAGCCCAGCAGGAAAATTTGCCTTTGTTCCCACACTCAAGACAGTGATGTTGGCCTGTTCTGCAGCAGAGAACTGTTAATATTTGTGTCTTCAATGTTTCATAACTGAGTTTGTAAGAAAAAATACTGAAGTAAGATATAATTCAAGTAATAGGTTTTAAAATCTTCTTAACAGGCTATTATATAGAAGCAGATGACAGTTCTGGGCAGAAAATCAAACAAAAAAGAAATTAGTTACAGAGGATTAAGCTGTTTCTAGTAATGACTCCACAAAGTTTAAGAAAAACAATCTTTCAAGATAGAAAATGAAAGTTATTGTTTCCTTGAACATCACTCAGTGTCAGTTCTGGAGTCTAGGATGTGAATTAGCTSTTCTTTTTCTGACACCCGGCTGACTTTTGGTAATTTCCATCTAGTGTTTGGTTTCGGGTTTCAGCTGGACCCACAGCTTGGAGCAGGGTTATTTGCAGGATTGCAGCTGCCAGTGTCTCATCCTAAACATGGTACTTCCTTTCACAGGAAGCTKGAAGTGTTTGTCCTAAACTGCAATTTAAAGGCTTAACACAGAGGGATAAAAGGACACAGGCAGGGTTGATAGATGCAGAATTTGGAATGAAGTGTCCAAAAGTCATCATCAGGTGTCATGGGTGAAGATTTACCACATTATTTCTTCAATGYAATGTTGCTGTTTTTACAGAATCACAGAATAYGCTGAGTTGGAAGGGRCCCAACTTTGATTCTGGCWCRTGTGTTGGATCAAAATCTGGAACAGATCTTCTAGACAAAGTCCTGTACTGGCATATATTTGGCATAACTCTGTAGTATAAAACTGGAAGTTATTTAAAATAAGAACTAGCTTAGTGTCTACATCTGGTACTCAGCCCTAGAGCAGTTTTCTGAGTATGAATAAGTGATCCAAGACTCTCCAAGAGTTGGATCTGCTTTGGGGAAGAAGAAGAGCAACGAAGGTTCATTCTCTCTGTATTCTCTGAATGGATAACAGCAGATAAAATGGTTTGGTGTCACAGTGCTACAGATCAGGCATAAAGCAAAGTAAACTATCATGCATCACTTTYGCTGACATAATTTAGCAAAACCCCRTATAATTCTGTAAATTCTTTTTGTTAAATCTAGCTCTGTCTGTGCAGTCTTGTAGTATGTTGTTGTATTCATCTTACATACATTTCCCCTATTTATTACTGTAGGAAGATCAGTATTTGGTGACTAGAAATCAGTCTGAAGAGAAAATGCCACAAAAGTGCTTAAAAATAAAGAAAAATCTGAAATACTAAATTATCACTGTGAAGACATAAAAATAAGCTAAAGGGAAGCTAATATATTTACAAATTTAGAAGAAATACTATGAAGAGTCAAAGTTTGATTTTCAATATTCAGCACAAATACAGGAATAAATGAGCCAACATGAGCAAATTGCCAGATCAGGATAACTTTTTAACAGTTTGGAATCAATAAGCCACCAAAGAGAGAATTGATTGAAGTCAGTACAACAGAGTTCAGAGAGCCCAGYTGCAGCTTGGCCCCTCCAAGATTCTCAAAGTTAGGGTTCAAATTCAAGRTGACTACTTCTGACTCAAGATTCCTAGAAATTAGCAGTGTTTTTTGTATTTTATACCCAATACTCACAGTTAGAGGGAATGAAAAAGTACTTTTAAGAGGAATTTGCCTGTATGTGCCATCATTTGCTGGATATGAGTATAATCACAAGTGTCATCACTAGCACAAAGAAACTAATTTTCAAGGCAGTGAATGTAAATTTTAGCCTATTTAAGCTTGCTACCATGGGAAAAATACCTGCTGATAAATGGTTCTGGTCATGCAAGTCTAATATCTATTATTTAGAATGGATCTACTCAGAAATACACTTTGTTTGTAAAGAAAAAATCAACTCAGATGTGGATTTKACTTTTTGACCAAAACCAGAAGCAAAAGACACTGTTGACTTGGTAGTAAGATTAAAAGATTCTAGGCCTGTATAAACTCACAATAAAATTTTCCTTTTCTCTGCCAGAAGAGCAGAGATCACATGCCAAAATATGATTGCTGATTTTGCCCTGAAGGGGACAGCTGAGTGAGATTAGTGAAACAGCCTGACGTGCGTGCCCGTAGTTTAGGTCATGAGTTTAAATGCTGAGGGCCAAGCCTCCTGCTAATAGGGAAAACTGGAAGTCTGTTCAAAGAAATGCTATGTCACTCTGAAGTGCATGCCATGCTTTTAATATTTTTTAAAGGGTAACAGCTGCATTGTCCCAGAGGTGGAAGGAAAAATGTGTCATGACAGTGTATCTAMCCAATAGATTTGCTTTGAAAATATAACATCGGCAAGTTTCCAGAGAAAAGTAGGGTAGAATTATGATCCAAAAGGGCAGTAAAATACAAAACAAGAATTATGAAGCAATGCAAATAAGAAGAATAAGGTGGAGTCCAGAAGCTGCTGTTTCATATGCTTTGCRAAATATGTCTGCAGTGTAAAGTCTATCAGCTCTGCTTGGCCACCTTTCAGCTGATGAAAAATGGTCAGCCTTCCTTGTGCACTGCACGATCTGCTCTGCCCCTGGACTCCTTTGCAGTTTCATGATTAGACAGTCTCCTGCAAGGAGAAGGCTTGTTTTCAATCTCTGAAAAGGAATTTGGGGTTGAATTAAGATACCTAGTTTGTTGAGCTGATACAATAAAACCCAGGTTCCTGCATGTGGAATAACAACTTCACTGCAGATCATGCTCTGAGAGAACCGTTCAGACAAGGTTGTCATCTACACCCACCTAAGGATGTTTGGAGATACTTGGCCAAGCAAAGGGAATTGGATAGGGTGAGAGAAATCTTACTGTCTCCTTCAGTCAGCTMCAAAGCTATGAGCAGTATCAGCAGCTACAGCAGTCAGGTCGTTAGTCTGCTAATTACTCATCTTTTGAAAGTAAGATTGCATAATACAGGTTTCTGCTTCCAGTAACAAGAGTAATTTCCCTATACAATTGAGTATCAGCATAATTTGATTTCAGTACTTTCCATATCCTCAAGTTTCCAGTATASCAGGTCTTCTTACACAAAGGAAATGATGCTTCAGTCCTTCAGAACAAGCTTTTGTGCTGCTCCCCAAATAGGGAGAAAAATAAGAAGGGAGAGATGGTGTATTGTTGCTTCTCAATGCTCACTGTCACTGCTAAGCACACTGGTATCACAGGCGAGGCTTAACATGGCTGCTTTTGATAAATGCTTTTATKTTTATTTATTTTGCAGAATTGCCTCAGAGGACGGTGTTAGCAAAAATTAAGAAAGGTAATTATGTTTAAGCAATAATCTAATATTCTTTTACCAACATAAGAGATTCATTAACTTCTTTTTTTTACCTTGGAACAATACATAAATAATTTATCTTCTAACAAAACTAGCAATGGCAGATTAAAGTGAGCTCTTACTCTGAAGCCTCTGTCTTCRTCAAAGAATTTGAGGACAGCTTTGGTCACTGAAGGTGGTAGCTGCAATGTTTTCTCCACAAAATAAACTCCTTGTCATGATTCTTTTCAGTAAAAAAAGGGACTCAGCAGAGATTCAAGCATTGTATAATAAGTCTTGATGGGGAACTCTTATTGTGTATTTTGAGAACAAGTTAAATGCTTTTAGCAAAAATAGGAAAAAATGGCCCTGAAACAGAACTTATAARCAGTGTCTATGGAGGAGCTACCAGAGGTTAGGGMAGATGCACCAACTGCACATCAAACRCARGAGCAAGGTTTMMATTCCTCAAGGGACAGGCTGTTAACAGAACTTTAAATTCTTGATACCCCAGACTTCCAAAACAGCCAGGGCTAAACACTGAGAATCCCYTACTGCTGGTCTGTTGAGGAAACATAAGGAAGGCTGTGCCTCTAGGAATAGCAGGATGCTATTAGGATGCTCCTAATGAAGATRTTTGACACAGAGCAGAGCTTGTGAAGATTCACTCTGCCCCTCTCCACTGCACATTGGAGACTCACCTGGCTGGGGCCCACARTGGGCAACCAGAGTTCCCCAAACACAGACTTGTGTACATTTTTTCACAAGTCAGCTCCTTTTCTGCTGCTTATTCTCCTTCACCCCTCCTTCCACCTGTGACTTTCTGAATGGGGATGCATTTAGTAACTTACAGAAATGCCAGTATTTGCACATACATTTTGAAATAGACTATAATCAAATCACCTACCTTTGCAGAATGTTATTTGGAATAGTTTCATACTGAGATTATGGTTTTCTTTTCTGTTTTCTACTACCTTTTCAGTTCTTACTGTGTTAAAATAATGGTGACTATACTGTGGAAGTTACTAAAGTTGATTTTGCACAGATGCTGCAGACTTTGGCGCTACTTCCTTTAAGAGCTGACCATAGTTCCCTGCTTTTGATGGCAAACCAGAACACATCCTGTTAAATTCAGCTAATGGCTATCATCAGCATTATTGCACATGTACTGTTGTTTCCAAATGCAATCTTCAATATTGAGCCCCTGGAGAAAAATGTGGCATTTAGAAGTATAGTACTGGTTTGTTTGGTTAGGATTATATTGCCTTTGTGAACTCTCTCTTCAAAAGCGGTTATAACAAGTTAGCTGTGAGCTCAACTCATTTGGACTTAATTTCATGTACAAGGACCTGCAAGAACCATTTTAATATAAGAATATTCCAAATGAAGGACATCTGTTTTTAAGAATCCATAATAATCCTGTAGTCCCTTTTGCATACTCTTGTTTTTATTTGCCTTCCATTTTCAGTTAATATTTCTCTAATATTTTTTTCTGCTATTTCACAATACTGTGCAATGTTTGTTGAAAGATTTTTTCTGTAGCTCCTCTTTTCTGTGCTCTCCTAATAGGGGATATATGGAATAGGTATGCCTCTGGTGGAGCCTTGCTGCTCCCTGTGTGCATTCCTGCCTCACCTGCATTCTCGGCTGAAAGCACATCAATGCTTGCACATATTTCTCATATTTATTGCTCTATGTGAACTTAGTTTTCTAAATCTGTGYCCATCAGTAGGTGCTGTGTTTGCATAGTAAGAAAGGTGAAGGATCTGAACTGGGGATTGTGCTTAGTGGCACAGAATGATATTTGTAATGATTCAAAATGAAGCTGTTCAGGATTAAAACTGTTGATTTGGTTGTTATATGCAAGAATATTTTAGTGATTCAATTTTATAAATGATCTCTGCAAATTATTTTTTTCTGGTTATGTATTACAACAATTGAAATACAATATACTGCCAATTAATTCTTAGAAAAACTAGCTATGAGCTATTACAATATTTTATATAAATACAGAACGTGCATCAATTGCTTTGAATAATAATTAAAATGATCCATTCATTCCTTTTTTCTTCTATTTGAATATTGCTTTGTGTATAATTCACATTAAMATTGACTGAAAGATAAATAATGAGGATGTGTGCAAATGATCCAGCTGAGATTCATGTCTTCTTTTAAATCAGAGTAAAAACTAATTTTCAACTTAGGTCTTCAATATTTTGGAACTTTAAAAGAATCATTAGTTGTCATTTTTCAAGTTGTAATTTGGTGACTACTTGAACAGAGCAATACAAATATCACTCTAATGCCTCAGTATAATATTGCAGTGTTACATGTAGAACAAAAGCAGCAGTTATTTTATAGCTGGCCTTTAGCCCAAAGCTACAGGTTATTTTGCAAACTTCCTCCAGTTCTGTTGTTTCTTTGGATGTATTTTGGGGTTTTTTTTCTTCACCCACCCTGTACAACGTTTAGCATTGTTTCCAGAAAAGCCTGACTTCTGCTTCCATGACCAAGAGCCTGGAATCTGCCGAGGTTATTTCACCAGGTACTTCTACAATAAAGAGACAAAATTATGTGAAGCATTYAAGTATGGTGGGTGCCTAGGAAACCAGAACAACTTCAGGAGTTTGGAAGAGTGCCAGAATATCTGCGAAGACAGCTGTAAGTTGCTGTTTTTATTATTCTGAGTTTTACTATTGTATTAAAAAAAAGTGTTTTGAAGGTATTTTGCATGGAAAAAAGGCAGTTTAGGATACCCTAAGTTGGCAATGGTTTCTATAGAAAGAAATATAAAATAATTATACATACTTTTAAATAAAAATACCAAAATGAAAAATAGGAAGTAAAAAACTGGTAGCTACTATTTATGGAATGTTACAGGACTCATTTTTTTACTTTTCTCATGATAGCTAACCTAAAATCTGCCATCTGTTTGGTTTTRTGATATCATAAAACAGTAATACATGTTTGTGACCCATAGGTCTGCACATACCCTTTTCAAACCAAGTCTTGTCATGACAAGAGGTGCCCATATAGGGATTTTTAACTTACTGTGTATTGCTAGCTTCCCACSAAAGATTTCTGGAAAACCAGTCTGTCCCTTGGGAATGATTTGGCTGTGCAGCTTTGGCTACAGAAGCCTTTCAGGCTGACCACAGACCAGGCATTTGCTTCCTTGTCCTACTTGTTCCCTTGAATTGTTCTACATCAGGATAGAGTAACCTTCAGAACTCCTCTCCCCTTCACCAGGTGCTTCATTTTATTCATAAAGGCAATACATGTTCCCATCAAGAGCCTCTGGACCCTTTTATCTTGCTTGTCTCTAGTGGGCCTTTTTCCAGYACTGTTTGATAAGCTGTCATTTTGGCAAGGGGAACTTGATCTTATTCACACTTAAAGTAGAAAAGATCCACTATGCTTGTTTTTAATTTTTTTTAAGTTTTTTTTTAAACTATAAATATAGAGCCATGTGCATTTTTCCCTACTTTTTCAGAAGCATTTCTTCCTGGGCTGTGATTCCACTTTTACCTTCTTGACTAAAAGCTGCAGAATACTTTCTTTTTCTTGTGATTTTAGTCTAAAATAACACCTTCATGGAAATGTGCATGAATGCTCAAGAAGGGAGGGTTAGAGGCCATTGCCATGGTCTAAATAGATCAAAGTTTTTTATTTTTGAGATATTGAAGCATTGATACTAATTTTTATTTTGATTTCRATATTTTTCCTGCTTTAACTTCTTTTTTTTTTTAATTTAGCAAACTTATTGCCAACTGTCACAGCTGAAGAGCATCCTGACACTGTGAATAGTAGTTTTCCAGCAGAAGATTATCCGAACAGTGTGAACAGCAGCTCCCCAGCARAAGAGCATCCTAACAGTGTGAACAGCAGCTCCMCAGCAGAAGAACCTAGCCAGTCTCCTGGGATTTTGGGTAAGAATTTTGGTGTTTATAGTTAACCCTTTAATGCTCCTTGGTTTGTCCACTGATTTTCCCATTTATCTGAAGATGTATACGTTGAAATACCTGAGCACAGGGAAGTTATTAACACTAAAAGGAGCCTCAGACCGGCTTTTGTGCCAGTAAATACTTATTTTGAAAAACTTAAAATTGCAAGTAAAAAGACTTTAAAATTGCAAAGATTAGAATGACTGCTGGTAATACAAAAACAAGCTTACCAAACCATGTATGATTTATATCTTGCATCAGTAAAATTGAGGAATAAAAAGGAACCCATTGCAAAGCCTCTGCATAACCCATCCTTGACTGCTTCACACCAGCACTTTTTCTTTCTTTTAGTTAATTTGTTGCCAACTGCTCCAGATGAGAAGTCCAACACCCTGAACAGTAGTTTGCCAAAGGAGGAGCCCAACCAGTTCCCCATTTTTTTTGGTAAGAATTGGCTTTAGCAGTTCTTAGCTCTCGGTCTTTTGTACAGGTTTCTTTTCCATTTCCACCCATTTTCTCACATATTTGAGACTAAAGAATCAGCTTTCATCTGTGCCAAAGGATTTGATAAGCAGAGAAAGTCAAACCAAAGGAATATATTGCCACTTACAGGTCTTTCATAAATATGAAGAAGTGGAAGACTGGCCACATCTTGTTCTCTTTGAAAAGTGTGTGCTTCCTGAAGGTCTAATTAATAGAAAYAGCAAAAGCAGTGATGCAGAATTCTTTCAGTCAAAATTAATATTTTTTATGAGGATCTAATAGGCAAGTGATGAAAAGTTCCTTTTATGCATTAAAAAAGAATGACATTTGGGATTTAGAATATGTCATAGTATAATGTATATGTATATATGTATATAATAAAGACCTTATGGTATTACATATGTAATACCATAATGTCTTTATTTTTACTGTGGCCATATTRAACTCAGTTTTGGGTTGTGTATAACCAAAGTGAATGTGAATTAACTGAAAATGTGGCTCCAAGGTATTTTTGCACTGTATATCATAGTGCTGATCAGTGTCCAGACCTTTACTGAGGAGGGATAGGTTTTAACAGTGCCCACTGTAGATGGCTGGTGCTTGCTCACACTGTAAAGGGTGATTGAATTTGAGGCATGTCGTTTTTATGATCCACAGTTGTGCAAGAGGAAACAACAAACAGTTGGAAAGAGCCTGGGCATTCTTACCAAGTATTTATGTTGTTTTTTTGCATTTGCATTTGCTTGTGCTTTTGAGGACTGAGCAATGCCTTAGAGATGCGTTAAGGTTTCTGCATTTTATATGTTCTGTAAGATAACAGGTGTGTAGGATGGTATTCCTGTGCCCTTTGCTTAGAATGCTCTGTCTAATAAAGCATGAAAAATAATGAATGCTGTACTCCATTTTTTGCCACACTGTGATCCACATGTTGGATGTAGGTTTCTGTACAGTTATATTGTTTATCACATACAAAGCATCAACACACTCTGCTATTTAAATGAATGAATATAAAACAGTAAAGCTTTTGGTTACTTATTTCACTGAAAATTATTTTAATTACATAAGGTCTGGTAATAAGTTTAAGGRCATTAGGCACATTCCCTAAAGGTTTTTAGTCATTATGAATGCCTGAATCCTCAAAACCTCAGGAAAGGTCCATGATTCACTATGTTTTCTCAGGGAAAATGGAAGGGGTCTTGATTGTGTCAGCAGTGGTGAATTTTCCTGCACAGCAGATTTTGAGAGTGAGAGAAAGAGAAATAAAGATTGACTGAAGCAAGAGTCAGTGTAGGAGGATGGGCCAGGTGAGAAGCCTTGGAAGGACCAATGCATTTCAGTGGAAAGTCTGAAGAGCCAGAAGGTTTCTCCCTACTGTGTAACTTTTGTCTTGAGCTTGTCTGCCTCGTGCAGCCTCCTGCTCCTATTCTGTTTATCAGCTTGTACCTTTCAGGCTGCTGGAATGGGCTAAAATCATGTGCTTTTGTGCAATCCCACTGGAGAGGAAGGCAAGGGTAAGGCCCAAAACCAACAGCTGATTTTTCCCCAGAGCCATGGAGAACATTGTCTCCATTCCTGCTGTTCCTAGAGGTACAGCTGTGAAGTTAACATCCAACGTAGAGACATGCCACACATTTGCACTGCAATTCTTCTGTGAGGGACAAGAGTTAACTTCACATGTGAGGTCAGAATCAGGATGAACTCTTTGGGATGGAGTGGCTGATGTCCATCTCCTCATACAGTGGCTGATCAGCAACTGTAATATCTAATTTGCATATATATTTGCTCGGCTATGTATMTTTTCTAATTTATTAAGACCATTTAAAAATTATATTTAATTTAGTTAATTTGCATGAAAACACGAAAACATGAAAAAAATTACAAGAAGTTGTCTCTTACATAACATCTCGCCTCACAACTGACATGCTATTTCATCTTGATTTTAAGGAAAAAACTCATATTTTTGGTATGTGTAACTCTGTAAAAATACCAGATCATTAGATTTACAGCATAATTCTTCATCTTCAGAAAATTAAACTGTTCTGTGGACAAATAAAGCAAATCATGCATGTGGACATAAAGTTTTTAGCACTCTCTTTCAGCAAGGAACTTTCTGCAGAGATTGAAGTTTGTTCTAGTCTTACTGTGCTGAAACATCTATCATAACTTTATTCTGTGAAAATTAAGAGAACGTGAGGCTAAGATTCAAAGCTTTCATTTTTAGATTATGTGATCCGTGGTAGAAAATTGCGAGTGCTGTACCTACATTTGATTTGTGAGATTTAAGTGGAAGACAGGATCAAGAGTCAGGTTTTTGAATTTGGAGCAGCACACAGATGCAGCTCCTGTTAGTGCTGTTAGTACAGTCAGGGTCATCTTTTGCTGATATAAGTTGGCACAGTTCTATTTGCTTTAATGGGTCTGCACAATATATACCTATGGAGTACCCTCAAGTGCAGATGACTTGTTATTTTTGTAATAGCCTTTCCACTTGAAGATTCTTTTATTTTCACTTTGCTGCRAGCAGAAATGAGGAGCTGAAGTCTGCACGTATCGAAAATCTGGCAATAAAYCTGAAGCTTCATGAATGTCACACACTTGTGTCTAGTGAGAAGTAGTGCTCATTGCATTCCCTTTCCTCCCAAGACAGTTTCAAACTTTTGTACTGTGATTAATTAGCAGCCCATTGTCACACAACCTCTGCAAAGCCTGAGGGATAAGGATTATTGTTGCAATGCAGAGTTGGGGTTATTTCTGATAAATGTGAGTCTGTATCTGGATGTGTGTTTTTCAGAGCTTCTGAAGTTATGATCACGTTTACACTCAAAGGGGGCTGTTTGGGATTCAAGAAAGGGCTGCATTCCAAGAATTCAATCTTAAACCATACAATGGGTACCTCTTCTTATGTAGYTTTGTGGCTTGTGGGATTTTTCCTTCTTTCATTTTCTTTTTTTTTCTTCATCGAAAGAGCAGGAAACAAAACTTACTCAACTCTCAGAAAAATGAGGTTGTAAAATGGAAACGCTTGGGAGAGAAACTCAAGAATAGGCATAATAACTCAATTTACTGTTATGTTATGTACATAAATACAGGACTAGGAGCTGGAGCTGAACAGRGACAACTCACCTGCTGTGATGTTCCAGTGACATTGTTTACACTCCCCCTCACAGGCTTACAGATTGTCCTGCCAACAGAGATGCTGGGCWTGACACAGGGAATGTTCAATGCTTACCTGAAGTTAAGTCTTTTAGGGACCAGTATATTTGAATCAATTCATAATTGTTATGATTTTCAGCAGAGAGGAAATTATGATAAGTTATTTAGTTTTTATTTTAATGTACTGTTTATTTGTTAAAAAATGGCTCTGGATGGCAAAATTAAGAGGTTTGATTCATGGGCTGKTTGCTTCTGCGGGAGTGAAGAACATGCAGACATTTTGACAATAAACAGGAACAGTGTTTGGTGTTTGGGGCATTTATGTAATATTATGGTATAGGCAAGGACTGATAATTTTTGGGAAGAGTGCAAAAGGGATTCTGAATAACACTTGGCTGGCTCTGTGGTGCAGTGCACATACACAGGCAGTCCTTGTTTACTGCATCACTGGCTCCATGGTTCCCCCAAATCTTGCAGTCACTGCCAGAACTCCTTCATGAGGGGACTGTGGGTTCACTGGAGAATTCCACATAGCAGATAAGTAATTTATATTACAAAGTGTGTATTTTAATGCTCTGATATAATTAACAAACCTGTGCTGTTTGGCCCTTTCCTCTCTGCAAGCCTTTCTGCTCTGTTCTTTGTAGGTTCTGAAATTAGGTTAAAATAGGTAATCTGTGCTGAACATATGCTTTGAAAGCTAACATACTCCCCATCCAGAGAGAGATGAAATTAGTTCCAGGCTCAAGAGTTCTCTGAGCACTACCAAAAGCATTGCCTTAGTTAATTTAACTACCATCTTCATGATAAAAACCAGTCAGTTTAATATCGATGTTATCACTTTGTGGATTTCTACTCTGGACCCAGAGTGAAACTTAGTCTTGCAATAATGTCACAGTTATAAAAAGAAATTAAGAAGTTCTCACTTTATGACTTGAAACTAGCTTAATCTATTTCAAAAAAGCAACTCATTACTCAGTTTTTTTAATTTCAGGATTTTTTTTTTTAATTGTATGATGTTGCTAAAACAGCATTCTGTTCCATCCCCAGCAGTTTTTCATACTTTTTCAACCCACCAGTTCAGCTATTATAATGGTCAGATGAACCTTTTTTTTGCAGGTGTGGTATGTGTAAGACACCTAAGATGTAGCAGATGCTTTTTGGATATTTTGTCAGTCTCCTGAACTGCCCAGGTTAATTCATAACTTCTTGCTTTCAGCATCTCATCTGCTTYCCTCTTTTGTGACCACAGGATGTCTTCAGCTTTGCTGTAATCCAAATTATTTCCTCCACTTTTTATTCTGTTTTTCTATTGAACCACTTCTGTGTGCCTTTGTTTCTTCAAGAGTGCCATCTGACTGACTCCACATTTCCATGTATGTATTCAGATCCCAGCTACCACAATTCTGCTGCTTCCTGAAGGAAAATGCTGCTCCTTTGGGTGCTGCATAACTGATGATATAATGGCTCTCTTCCAGCTTCTTGTGCCCTGTGCAGCAATTTCATCAGTTCCAGTTTTGTATATTAGTCACACCGGGGTGGCAGATGATGGAGTTCTTCCAGGTTTGGGAATTGTGGCATGGGTTTGTTTCTTGAATTTGTTCCAGTGCCCAGGTCCTTTGGCTACCTCAGGTTCGTCCTCAGTGTTTCAGTTCTCACTCTCTCACTTGCAGTGACCCTGAAGGAACAAACCATCAGCCTCTCCTCGGAATGGTAAACTCCTGACAGCACCACTAACACACCAGYRTCTCCATTTATTTGTGCACTTATTYTACAYATTTAATAYTTKCCTWTTCTGGGAGTTACAAGCTCTTYTTTAATATYTGCTCAKKGGTTGCTGATAGACYCTGWCACTCAGGTCAAGTTTTCTGTCATCATTCAACAAACCCAGCATTGAGGTATTGAGTCTTACATTGGAAATGCTGGGTGCTTTGATCTCCTACTTGATTTCACTATGTCTGGGAGCAACTCACTCTGTTACTTATTAGAAATATTTACCATATTTTTAACGCTGTCCACATTTATTTTGCTTCACTCCACTTTCTGCAAATGCTTCACTTGAAACTCCTTAAAGTGAATTTTTGTGTTCTCTCCTACAGCAGAAATGGCAATTTTATCACTAGTAATACAGGTAGAGGTATAGCTTTCAAGTAAGATTTTGCTGGCACTTCAAAGACACAATGACATATTTTCTGTGGTATTTTTTTGTAATCATAAAGAGGAAAGATGCTTATGTCAAGAATCTTGGATTTTCAGGAGGGCAGAATTAAATTTGCTGGAGAATTTCACTAATAAATTTTAACTAATGTTGGCATAACAGAAAACTGAAGCCCTGCAGTGTTGTTTCTCACCTTGTTTTTCTTGGCACTTCCAGAACCACGTCCAATCCCTTCTTTGTGCCTGACCCCTATGGACAGAGGACTCTGTAGAGCCAAAGAATTGAGATTTTTCTTCAACTACTCGACTGGAAGGTGTYGCCCATTTAGCTACAGTGGTTGTGGTGGGAATGAGAATAATTTCGTCTCCAGAAAGTCATGTTTGAGGATCTGCAAGAAAGGTAATGGAAGTGATACTGGCCCCGGCTATCGTTAAGAGGTAAATATAATGCAGGTTGGAACATTCTTGCCACTTGTCATAGYTCAAAGTCTCAGAAAAGTGAAAATGGAAATCAGGAGGCACACAGAGCTAGAGAGACAAAGAGGGACAGTAAGTGCAGTGTACAAGAACAGCAATAAGACAACTTGACATTGGTCAGGCATATGAACACTTTAGGTAAGACAATGGGTTTTTTCCTTTTTCTTTTAAGATTTATTGAAACAAGCCTTGTCTCTTATTTCTGACAATCTTGGAYGTCTTCTAATCTCACTTTGTTAATYTTACCTTTAGGATTCAATAAGAAAAAAGGGGAAAGAAGATTAATAAGAATCAAGAAAAAAAGAAAGAAACAACCAGTAAAGGCTCTGGGTGGGGAAGTCACCCCTGAAAGAATGCAAGTTTAATATTTTTGGAAATGTGAAATAAACRACTCTTCGCCTGTGAATGAAAGATRAAAGTCTTCCGTGTAYACCATWAAAAYATATTTACTGCACTGATTATTTTGATGATATATTACTAAGCTGCTTATATTTTTATTATGTATTCCTCAATCATGTTAATAAACACTACCTTTTACTTTGATAAAGACTTTAAAATTGCAGTTTTGTTGAATATAATTATCAGAGCTGCAGCAGGACAACAGACTCCATGAATGAATGGTTAAAACTTAGATAAGATTCAAATATAATTCATTACTCCATTATTCTTTTTGAATTCTATTTTTGTACTAAAGAAAGGATAACACTTGTGAAAGAATAATCACTTGTCAAGCATGATTGTTTCAATCATCGATTAAGAGACAGGTCTATTGCTATAAAGAGGAAATAGACATTGGATTTGTTTTAATCAGATTTATTTTTAGGTTATGCAGGCTAGATTTAACTCCATTGAAGTGCATATAATTACAGTATTGTAAAATGATTRTGAGATCAGAATTAACCCACCAAAGTCCATGAAGGGAGTGTTMAAGCTGTAAATGTGTGAAGCAATATGGAAAATTTTTGCAGAGATTAYAAAATACATATGTTGAGATTATTGACTTTCATCCTTGTTACTGATCTAGACCCGTGGCTAAGCTTTACTGCTGAAATTGTAAGCAACTATACATTCTAAATATCAGACTGAGGGGATAAGTACAATCAGATTTTTATACTTAAGTTTTATCCAAATCTCTTTTCTGGTRCTTAAGTCCTTTCATGGCTCTTCTAACCTAGGCTCCATTAAGTTTGATTTGAAAAATTCTCAAGGAAAAGAGTACACCAGAGAACATTTATGTAGAGTCTTGTCATGTAAAATGTATGAGCACCAGAGATACCAATGCAAGRACCACATAAATCAGGCAAATGCAATTCCGTCAGGAGATCTATAGACTCCATAGTCTGCTACCCACACAATTAATTTGGTACATTTTATCTCCCAGTCTCAGTTTCAATTTGGTGTCTTTCCTGTTCTGGTTCATCACTCTGACCTTTTTCTCCAGGTTTTCCTGCACTTCATGCACCAGGAATGGAATGTGTAGATGTGGGTTGCATGCACAGGAGCAGAGCAGTAGGTTAAATACTTGGACCAGCTGGAATCTGGCATTGCAGATAAGTGGAGAACCCCATGTTTAAACTGCTCCCAGCCTTTTCCACTTATCCCATGGCAACTGTCCAAGCACAGCAGYTTGTGTGGCCTCCCCAGGGTGAGGGGATTTAGGCACACTTGGGGTGGGAGGGTCAGGATTTGCACTAATGCCTGGTTACCCTGTGTCTGCTCTGACCCYGCCTGGCTAGGGATGCAGGAGAGTGCAAATGCCTGCACCTCTCCTTGGATGCATTTTATGATCAAGGCAGTAACAGTGTCTGATCTCCCACTCTTACTCATAACATAGYCATTTCCCATGGGCTGCCAATGTTAAAACTGCTGTAATTGCTAGATGTACATGATGTACCTCAAATGGGAGATAGAGCTGGAGTAACTGAGTTAAACTAAAACATCTAGGGCTTGCATGTAAAAGACAGTGAAACTCATTAAGCAGTCGCACCAAGAACACTAAAAAGGGKTTGTAAGCTTTGTATGATTGATTAGATTACAAACCATAATGYTGAACTTTCTAAACCAGAACATTTTTAATGAGACAATGGACATAGAAAATAGATTAATTTGTATGCATTGTCTTGTGATTCCTGTGTCATTTCATGTCAGTATCTCTACTTCAGGCTCCCTCTTGTTCTAGCAACTTGTCCCTGGCTGCCTGGATTCAACACCTACAAAATCCACGTGGGAAGGCTAGGATAAAAGTCATCCTTTCTGTCCCATTAGAAAGCTGGCTGTGTGGCTGCTCTCTGCTCTTATAAACTTCCTTCTTGCAGAGCTGTACTGCAAACTAACTCTCCTCACTGAGAGGGATCAGTTCCTCCCAGGACTGCAGAGCTGTTGTAGCTGGGACAGGACTAACAGGTACTCTCCCATCCTCTTCTATTCCACTGACATTGTGCTAAAGAAACTTCTTGTGCTGCTCTATTACTTTTTGTAGTAACAGTAATTAAGTGACCCAGTGCGGGCTCTCATGTCATTGCTCAGAAAGAAGAGAATTTATACCTCTAGGATCTCAATGTGCCTCTGTTTAAATTGTCTAAGAAAACATTTCAGTGTGATTCATCTGCCAGGCCTGTTACTCAGTGCAACGAGATTCAAGACTGCAGTGTCACAGGCTGTAAAAACCTGATCTGATTACAATCAGATTTGATCTGAGTGCACRCTGCTCTCAGCTGTGTGTGCACTCAGTTTGGCCACCACACCAGCTATCCAGCTGTCTTCCTGCTTTGTTTTTGTTCAGCTCTACAGCRCATAGAGAGATTTTTTCCCATAAGAAGTCCAAACTGCAATGTGATATGATCTTCAACATAACAAGAAGTTTCTTTTGTGTCCTGTTTCCATCATTTAATTCCTCTATCTCCCAYAGCTGCAGAATACTCAAATACAAGAATAAAAGATCTATGTATCTCCCAAAGTTAACTAAAGGATAAACTTAGAAGTGGGATAATTGAGGAGAAGATACGTATGAGGTGGCAGAATGGTGAAGCAGTCAGAACATGAAGCTSTTACAGTGACTGTACGGTTCCAATTAACTAGAGTTCATTCACACAGTCATTTCATTCCAGAAYCTGCTGCAGTTGCTTTGGAGGGGAAATGCAGAGTGCTATGAAATTTCTCTCATGCTGTATGATAAGAGCCAACAAGCCGAAGCAATTTTACAGAGGTGTGATGTGTTTCACCACATCATCTGGCCTGCAGAAACTTGGTATGTGCACTTAATACATGCCGATGATGAAGCAAAATGAGAAATCATTTAATGTCCTTCTTTTTTTCCTCACATTTTTACTGGTATGCCCTCCTTTTTCTCCTTTTTGTTTTGTACCCTCTGCTTCAGTTTCATTTCCAGTTTACTTGAGCCAGCATTTCTCCCTGCATCTCCAACCCATTTACTCTCTCAAAGCTGACAGGTTTTTATTTACATTTTGAGCAATTTTCACCTTTCTAGCTTTTAGCATTTCAAACTTAGTGAAGGGGACCCACAAGGGTTACACTTCCTAACTGGTTGTTTTCAGTGGTGTCTCTAAAGAGGGAGCCGGGCGAAGATTGGGGTGAAGTGGGGTGTACGCGTGTGGTTGCGGGGGGTTCACAGAGGATAATTAATACCCGAATTTGGGATAAATTTGCGCGCGGAGGATCCGCGGCTGCGTTTATCCCCCGAGTGGCCGCGAGAGGGCGCCGGCGGCGCGGCGAGCGCCGGGCGGGATCGCGCTGATGGAAAAGGGGRAATTCTTTGGAATTACTCTGCGCCCATCAAACCGCCTTTGGCTCGAGCGCAGGTAGGTTTGCACATTTAGCCCCCCTAGAACTGCTCCCTCCTTAGCTGTCGGTAATCAGGGCAGCCCGTGATTTATGTTCCTCGCAGCCAGAGGAGGGGGAGATGCAGCAGTGCCGSCGGGGCAGCGCTCTCTGAAAAGCGAACTGCACCAGCTGAGGTGTCTCAGGTATCTGTAGGGTAGGAGTAAGGAAGTTTCAACGATAGTGGATCAGTAGAATAGAAAAGCCTCCGAAAAAAATAGACTCAAAACCCCCCAAAGCCACCAGCCAACCGAAAACAATTCACAAAAAACCCACACACAAGTCCACTAAATTTGACAAGCCAAATCAAACATGGCCTGGGGAATACATGTCTCCATCTAATTCAGATGCCTGTCTTGAAGGTCTGTTCTCGGCTGGAATCCATGGATTATTCTCTTAATTTATCATGTGTGATGTACCATGTTGCAATCTGCAACCAGACCTGACAGGTCTCAAGTAAAGCTACCAGGCTCACTCCTGATGAAATTCCTCTCCCTGAGGTGACACYGTTTATTTTAGAGAAGTTAATTTCCACCACTGTTCAGAATTAGTGCTAATCCCCAACTGATGTCTATTTACATTGCCTAGAGGTTTAGAGTGCTAGTCYGTAGTTCTTCACTGATTTTCAAACTCAAACATTGTCCTATTGATGTAAGATCCCAGAAGCACCAACACTCACATGTGCCAAATGAGCATCCAAGCCTGCATTTTTTAAAAAGTTGGAGTGGGATTTCACAATTTATGTTGTCCATATTGTCATATGGATTTAAAATACTCCTGCCTCTCTTTTCTCTCTACCAATTTTTCCTGACCCTGGATTGGGCATGGGTTTTGTTTGAAGTTTTTTGCTTGTTTTGTGGGGGCTTTCCCCCCTTAGTTTTGTGTCTCTTGCTGTTTTCCTTCATGAGGAAAACGTTTTCAATGGCCAGATGAATTCCTCCATGGCATGTTCCACAAATTATTATCCTGGTTTAAAAAAAAAAAAAAAAAAGTGGACAAGTGACAGGTGGTGAGAAAAAAAGCAGAATATTTTATTTTGTTTTAAGAGCAAATTCAGTGGTATAATTTGTTAAGTCCTTATGACAACGTGACCTTTGGGAGGTTCTTAYGGTGTTCTATTAGGAGTACTGGTGTTTCAGGTGTTCATATAATTTGAGCTCAATTCTCCATGAGCTCCCTGTTTGTTCATCATGGTATTGCCCTCTGTGTACAGCAACTGCCCATTTGGAGGGCACAGATTCTGTTCATAGGACAGGTGTTGATTGTATAAAAACAAGTGACAAATACCTTCAAAGAAACATCTTTAGCTCTCGATACGATATTCTTTGAAGCTAGTTAGAAAGACTGCTATTAATTTTGTTTTGYCCTCCATCACGGCAGTTTTCAAACCAGGCAGCTCATTCATACCTGTGCTTTCAAATCATCAGTGTTCAGAAAAACACAGCATGGAGGTCTGGGCGGCAATAGTAAGGGTCCTGCTGCCTTTTTCCTACCCCTGACATTGCAAAGATTTATTTCTTTAAATACAATTTTTTTCCTTGAGTACAAAGCAAAGTGACACTGCAARTGATGCACTCGCTTGAAACTGAAAATTTGAATCTGACCTTTGCAGTTGTTCCGAGGAACAACTTTTATTTAAGGAATAAAGGTATTTCTGTGTAGAGCTTTTCAGCCCGTACAGTTTGGGATATAACTCAGCCCCTGCAGTTGCTGGCAGAGTTGGGGCAGGTCAGTCATGCTGAGGAGGAATCCATCTCTCGTGTGTTCTTTGTCTCTGARTAAAGATCCAAACTAATTTGTTTCTCTGGATCTAGCTGGAGGAGGGCGAATCTCACTGGTTCGATCCGTGAAAGCACAGGTCCCGTGGTCTCCTCCTCAGCAGCAGAGCAGCGGGTGAGTATTTGGCGAGTGCTCTCAGCGCTCCGGCGCTGTCAGGGCGAGCGGGGAGCGGCAGCCGCCCCGGGCCGGGTGCGGGCAGAGGCTGCGCTGCCGGGAGCAGATGGCAGCGCCGGGGCTCGGCCGGCTCCCCTCGCCAATGCCACGGSAGCCCGGCTTCCCCGGGACATGCCATTCGAGAGAGAAAAGTAACTCAACGCCGGCCGCAGGCGGGGTCGGGTGATGTAACAGGAAGCTCTGATGTTTGGCTGCTGCTGCCGCCGCTCCGCGCCTGCCATCGGACACGCTCCCGCAGCAGCGCTGCTCCGCCGGGACAGCCTCGGCTCTGGATTATACCCAGCCGAGCACCGCTCTCGCCGCTCTCGTCTGGCTCCGTCCCTCCGCGGCCACACATCTCCTCGCTGCTTCATCTGAAAGCATTCCCGTACCAAGCCGGTGTTGAGCGGTGAGTAGCGCTCGAAGCGGTTTCATTGTTTTACCCASGAGCAGCGGTTCCGTGCCCATCCGAGTGCGCGGGTGTGCATGCTCTGGCATTAACCTCGGCGTGTGATACGGGATCTGCCCCGGGAAAGGCTGGCAGCAAAATCTTCGTTTATTTTTGSTGAGCGAGGTGTTGAGCTGCTTTTRTAACTGGTGGTGTTATAGTCTATCCTTTGTAGGATAAATGGATGCGAAAAGGAGATAAAACGCTCCAGTCGGTGCTTTAAGGATTCTGCCTGAAACCTCTAATATTAACTAAGCAAATTTCTGTCTTTRCATCTGGAGAGAATTAGAGACTCATTGGCTTGAAAAGGGTCCTTAAGATTAATTCAGTACAACTGCCGCTCCTTCAATAGAGGCTCAATTAGGTGATAAAGTGGTGTGGGTTTGCTTGCTGAGTATCTCTCTAAACTTATTGTACCAGAAAGAGCCGTACTCGAATTGTTTCATAGTTAAGTTTTGTGTTGTAATTACACAAAAGGTAAAGCTTCTGTTTTGTTTGGGCTTTCTGTTTGCTTGAGGAGAAGTTGTGTTGGTTTGAAGCCTGTACGCGTACCGGCGTCTCACTGTTTGAGGTTTGTAACCACAAACACCGAGCTGATTTATTGGCAGCTAATTGCCCACTTTCCCTTTCCTTGAGAAACCATTGAACAGTGGCAAGTGTGTGATTCTGTGCCTTCAAGTATTGGCTGATAGGCAGTTGGAACTCTTGCCACTCCTTTAACTTTCCAAAACAGATGTGATACCCTCTGGTTTTACAAATAATGTTCCAGTGCTGAGATTGCTAATTCTAGTCATTTACCCGTGTGTATAAGCAATGGATCTGAGGAATCAGGAAAGCAATTTTGTTAGGCTGTAAATCACACTTGGATTTAATTTTTTTTTTTTTTGTTATCCCTGCATTTTATAAGGGAAGAGAATGARTAATTATAAAAATAACTGAGGTTTCTTGCTCTTTACCTTAATAAATTTATGCCAGCTACCATGGGGATGGACTTTGCTGCTCTTACAATTTTGCCAATGMAGAGTCTTCCTAGTCCTGCTGTGCATAGTGGGGATCTTGCCATTCCCTTGCATTAATAATGCAACTAATAGCTGAAACCTGTTCAGATCAGTGATGTGTTCTGAATCTGAGATCCACTCAGTGCATTGAAAGGAGGCAATCTGGGATCAGTGTAAGACCAGATCTGAGCCCATGTGTTTTCTTTTAGAGTACACATGCTGCGGTACTGTCTGAAATTCTTAATTAAAAATAAYGATCTGTCTTTACACAGTATTGTCTTTTGTCATTCCTTCAAACTCTCATCTATTTCACTGCACATAGGAGCAATCCTAAAGTCTTTATCCAACTTTGGAAATCTTCGGCACAAAAGGTACTTGCTGATAGTAAATCAGTGAAGTTGGCGCTTCACATTAAAGGTGCTTCTGTTGTAATGATCAGTGCAGTGGGAACAAGTGTCTAAGAATGATATCAACTAGATGATATAGGTTCTTATTTTTTTGTTCTTCACATGCAACTGAGGGGGGTCTGCCCACAGAGGATGTGCCGGGCATGTGCGTGTTTGCAGGTTTGATGTCAGAYTCGAGYTTATTTGCAGGTTMAGCAAAGACAGAGGCAGGGTGTTGRTATAGAACAGCGTGGCTGCACTTTTTACTGGACAAAACTAAGTATCTGGATATATGAGATGGACTGTGAGTTCAAGAATTGCATCSTGTGTGTCCTTTCAACTTCAAATGTTGCTCCACCCTGGATTTCTGATCAGTTGGAGTCTTTCTCTGTGTCAAGAGATGTGGTTTTTGTCCCTTTGAATGGGCTTTTGATACAACACAACTGTTGAAATCYTGGCCTGCTGAGAGCCAGTGGGAATTTTTCCACCAACTGTCAAAGGGCAAGACATTCCTAAATGTGGATATTTTTGTGTTGAAGGAGTTGTTCATAGATCAATCCAGTCACTTACATTCTGCTGTCTGTTGGCAGCTKGGGTTTTTCTGGGTAAATTCTGTAATTTTTGAGTGCTCCAGTTGAAAATCACAGATCTGGGCGACCTGCGCCTTACCTGGGCCAGTAAAGGGACTACAGGTTTGTTCTGGGGGCTGTCTGGGTGTTGCAGTTCAGACTTTAGACCAAGATACGATTGAGAACAAAACTGAGGGAAGAAAGCACACTAACAAATTTCCTATGTCACCATGTAATTGCTAACTTGATTCTATGTTCTGTACATTTGAGGAAATCCTCTTCTTCCAGTAGCATTYGGGGCWTGTGCAGGAGCTGGGTAGGATTGTRCTCACCAGAGTCCATGAAGTCATGCAGATGGAAGATTCAAACTGGSCCATGGTCATTTGGAAGAAACTATCACTATTGATATGTTTTTAGTAACAACACACATACAGTGATGTTTGGAAGAGGTGTATCTACTCATTTCTGTAGTAAATGTTGAACATAAGCTGTCTATTCCCAGCCATTGAGAGAATTTCTCCAATGAGAAGTCCAAGTCTACAGCTAGGAAAAAAAAACCCAGGATTTCTGCTTAAGAAGTCATTCACATCTGTTGCCAATGTGTTTATGATGTTCTTGATTCAGTACCAAAATCCTTTCTGTATCTCTGATCAGCTGTCACTCCTCTGGCACACACACAGTATTGGCATTACCTCGGTGCCCTGGCCACCTCTGTCACCTCTGAAAGCCTGGGTAGCTCTGTCCTGGAGTTTCACATGCAGCAGCTTCCTCTGTCAAAGCTTTGCACTTATTGAAAACAGTCTCTGACTTGCTCATGCAACTGCTCTATCCTTGGGAAGTGTTTTAAGTGTTTGGTGTAGCAAATTGTCAGAGCTCTAGAATTAACTATATGCTGGATATTAAGGCGTCGAGGAAGGAATGAGTACTGCTACTATCAAAACAGATGGGAGCTGGCAAATGGTTTTTAGGTAGCAAAATAAGTGTTTCCTTATATGTGTTTATGTGTATTAGATATATAATAACATATATAATATATTATTTGGACATTCAACATATGCGGGTCTATCTCATGCTGACTTCCATTGTTGCCAGTGTAGCACCTAAAGAGAGAACACAGGTTCCTAAAGAAAACTTCAAAGTAAATTAACCCTAGATCTCATCCTTTGTTCAGAAAGCGGTGAATCACAGTTCTAATTGTGATATTCTAAYATTCTGAGTTGAATACATCTGAGTGCTTCTTCTCTCTGATGTTTAAAAGAAAACAGAGAAAGCTTTCTATAGGTGGATGCAACCCATTATTTTTATTTTTTTCTATTCGCTGGCAGTTCTGATGTTTTCAGAGTAATAAAATTGCACAAAGAGCAGCAGAAAACAGCCTGTTTCTTACCTGTTACCTGTGGAGAATTCCACAGACAGTGTGGTATAATAGAAGACCTTACGAAATTAGCTTCCATTAGAACATTCCTCTTARGCATTACTTTTTGTTCTATTTTAGAATCTGGGCACAACCGAAAGGCTAAACTTTCACATTTTCAGAGTTTTGTTTTAACAGTTGTCTCTCATGCTTCAGTCTCCCAAGTTTGTTTWTACTGTTTACATTTTCCCAGCAAAGTCATCCTTTTTCTGCCCTAGCTCTGTGCAAACACTTTCAATCATTTCTGCRGTATACACTGTCCAAAACTGATTTATTTTGAGTTGCTTTTTTTTTGGAAAGATGCACTTGAAATGCATTTAACTCGTTGAAATGCACCAAAAAAGGCTTTCCATGAGAGAAGCCATGTTCTCCCTTCAAGAAAAGAAATCAGACTCTCATTGTCAATTTGCATGTGTTTCCAAGGCTAGTACCTATTAATACAGCACAGATGCCACTCAAGACTTTTGTGACAGTTTTGGCCATTATTAAGTTGTAGCTGGCCACTCTGATTAAATTTCAGAAAATAAAGCAATGTTGTGCTTCTGGATTTATGTCTGGGTCATTCAGGCTAAATTTGAAAAAATGTCCCCCAAAAAACTGATGATGGTTTTGTTTAATAAAGCCCATACCAGTCTGACTTCKCATGTGATACCATGAACAAGGAGCCAAACACAGAAATTAGTAATTTTTTTTTTCTTTTGATTGCTGTGTTCAAAGCACCTACACTTACCTCGTATACTGTTGTACACCATCAGCTGCGTTTAGGCTGAATATCTTTAGTTCCTAAAACCTACATCATCTTTTCCACCTATTCTTTGATAATTCTCAGCTTGAAAACTGAACAACATTGAGTGCTTATATGGGCAGAAAGTTTCCCTCCTTGAATTACCATTTAGATTTGCCCCTTACCMCCCCCCCCCCCCCCATTACCGTGGTTAAACCTTGTCCATGAATTTTCATAAATTTTGTATTATCTCCATATTGACAGTTGTGGTGGAGTTTCATTRAAGTAAAATATAGGATGTACCGAGAACATTTTTGTTATACGAGAACTCATATGTTTTAGGACTTAAAGTTATTTTTTCCATATTAAAATTATCAGAGATSTATAATCCTTTCTAGATAGAAATTTTAAAATTTAGCCTTCAGGAAAGAGTAAGACCGTTAGACATTATATTTCCTTCTTCTGTGGTCGCATTTATGTATTTATTGAGTACCCTAAATGGAGGGAAAGATTAAACTCTGCAGCCTTTTATTAATCAAATGGCACATTTTTGCAATTATTATCCTGAAACATTCTTTACAATGGGAATTTCTGCCCTTTAGTTTCAGTTAGTGAAATCCAGCAGGTGTCACTCTGGGGATTAAATAAGAAATATTACACAAATAGAGATAAGCCTTTTTAGGAGAATTTAGAAGTAATACATTTTTCCCAGATCGTTTTTTGACCAGGCATGCCTCCTTAATTCTGAAGTTTAATTTTTTACTTACATGATTTAATGGGTGTATTCTTCTTTCTGTGTATCCCYTTGAACATGAAAAGGGAGAGTTATAAGTATTGGATAATACAATCAGAACCTGTACTCACAGGTGA